CTAATACAGATGGAAGTGCCAGTGAAGACGAGTTTCAAGGTTTTGACGAGGTTGTGGCCGAAACTAATGACCATAATACCGGTAATAGCGAGGAAAACCCAGACGGCCCTCAACCATCCACTTCTGGTGTTGAGCCGTCTTGTTCACGTTCAGTTGTACCAGAACAAAAAAGGACACTTATTTTTCCCATATCCAGGACTCAGATGTGAGCAATGGTGATGATAGTGATACTGAATATGAACTACAAGCTCTTGAAAACGATTCCAGTAGCGATAGTGAAGTGAAATATTCTCCAGTGATAGTGTGCCATATGCTATTCCAAGGGGAAGGAGTACATCTCGGAGTACATCCTGTGGCTGTACAACAGGAACAGATAGTGAAAATGAAGATAATAGTGTTGCAATTAGGATGGAAAATGGGCATACATCTAGTGGTGGTGCCAGCCGTGAGGCAGCAGCAGTGGGCCATGCTGCCACCCATGCCGCTGCCTCAGCTGATCTACAACAAAAGCCACCATCCCCCACTCAACACACCAGCCTCCACAACCACCTGTCAATATCCAGTACCCACCAGCAGACTGCACCTGGGATTGGCAGGAAGCTGCCAATTTTGTTCCAAGTCCCCATCAGTTTGATGAAAGCGAAAGTGGAATACGGCCATCTTGTACACTTGGGAACAATGCCACTGAACTGGAATGTCTCGAGTTATTCTTCGACGAACCCCTGATGGAAATTATTGTCAGGGAAAGCAACAGATACACAGTACTTTCACCAAACTCACGCCTACACCAGTGGAAGGAGACAAAATAAAATTGGCAACAATAAGAAACAATAAAACCTATGGGCTATTAGGCTCTGTAAAGTTGGGGTAACGGTAAGTGTGTAAGCAAGGAAGAATGTGAATGTTGTGGAGGAATAATGTTGCGAGGGTCGCAAAATAGGAGAGGTAGAAAGTGTGTTGGTGTCCATCGAGGGTGTCGTCTCCGCAATATAGCTGGAGGTAGCGTCTGACATCTTTGTTGTTAAGGAATCCAATGATGCCATGATGTCAGAGGCAGGAGAGGTGTTGCAAGGAAAGGTAGGAGTAATTACAAAAGCAACAAAAGAGGTCTGAGGGGGGCAGGGAGTATGAACCTGGAGAGATGCGTCGGCTTGGGTAGAAGAGGCCTGCAGTGTAACAGGAGAGGAAGGAGGTTGGAGGGTAACTGTGAAGGAAGATGGGGGGGGGACTACACGAGGGGGGGTGAACCTCTACCTTCATGTGAGAGCTGGAAAGGGGGTGAGAACGAGGCTCCGAGGTAGGAGATATATTCTTTGCAAATGAAGGATGTGAAGAAAGCGTAGGTCTGCAAGGTCTCGTAGACTGAGAAGCAAGCAAATGAGCTGAGATGAAGTAGAAGTAGGAAGTGGTGTGGAGGTAGGAGTGTCAGAGGATAAAACTGCAAAAGAATTAGAAACTGGGGTGACCCCGGAAAACACAGATGCAGAGGGATTGGGAGGTGGGAGGACCGTCAAGGTTGGAGGTCTTCGGGCTACCTGAGCATACAGGACACAAGGGAGTTTACCTTGAAGGCGGAGTTGAGAGACAGCCATAGTGTAAGTGAGGCCCTCATGCTCCTTAAGAAGATAACGGATCTCTCATTCATTATAATAAACCTGGCAATGGCGTGAAGAGGAAGGATGAGGTTCCCTGCAATTGAGACGAGGGGAAAAGACTACAAGACGTATTGGAATGATCAACTGCACTGCAGACCGGGCATTCCGCTGCAGATCTGCAGTGTTTAGCAGGGTGTCCAAAATGCCAGCAATTATGACACTGTTGGGGAGTGGGAGCTATTTGACGGACCTCTTGGCAGTGTCCCACAATATTGACAGAGAATGGAAGTTCATAGTTGAAGGTCAAACGAGCGATGTTAGCCCTTAAACTGTCCAAACGTAGATCAACGTTTTTTCAACATTTGAAAGTATGTAAAAAAAAGTAGACTTTTTTTTTTTTTTTAACATTTGAAAACGTGTAAAAAAAACTTTGATCTATGTTTCTTTTTTGTTATCGAAATTATTATTATTATAATCAAAAAGAAGCGCTAAGCCACAAGGGCTATACAGCTTTGTTATCGAAAATATGTAAAAAAAAACAACAACAAAAAAAAAAAAAAAAACGTAGGTCTACTTTTGGAGCACTACGCATGTGAACGTAAATTTGTTTGGACAGTCTAAGGGTTAATAAGAAAACGCCTCCGCCCACAAGCAGGCAGGATGTACGTATCTACCTTGAGGGTAGGGAGGTTCTGAAGGGCTAATTGTTCTAAAGTATCCTCGCTGTAGGACAAAAAATCACTTTGTACAATGGTACATGGTAAGACTACAGTACCGCTGCAAGAATTAAGAGTAGCATGCTAACGAATGGTGACTGGTATGTTATCAATGGAAGTGATGTGGGAGAGAGCATGAGCTTGCTCTGAATTCTGCACTGTTATGACACGTGCACTGCTTTGAAGAGCGTGGAAGGATATATTTTGGCCAGCATGCCATAAGAGAGTTGTACCAACTCTGTGATCAGAAAGATAATCAGTTTGAGAAATCGTTTGTAAAGAAAAGAATTTTGTCCACTGCATACTCGTTAGTCCGGTACGCAAAGGTAGCGAGTGTCGTGTAGGTCGTTTTTGAATGGTCATCGACGAATTGTCGTCAGTAGATTGTCTTGGAAGCTTAGGAGTAGAACCATGGGCAGTCTGACCCGAGTGAGGTGGGCAATCCGAGAACCGGCGCACCGTATTTGGGGAAGCCCAACTCGTTGTGAAAGGCGTGCTAGAAGCAGTGGCATGAACAGAAATGGGTGATGGTGCAACACCTGAAACAGGTGACGAGGCATCACCGGCAGATATAGGGTTACGAGAAGAGTCGAGAGAATGGTCTGACAATGATGCCAGGTCAGAACAGGGTGTGGGATCAGAATGGGGCCTGGGAGGAGGAAGAGTTTCACAGAGCCAAGACTCCATAATAATAGGTGCATCTTCTGTAATATCTTTTATTTTAAGAAAGGGGAAAAAAAAAAAGGGACAGCGGAGGGACAGTCGCTAGAAGGCATGGAGGGGCCGAAAGCCCCTCCCCTCATCCGAGAGGGCACTGGCAATGAAGATGCAGCGTGGAACCTATGCCATACCCTACCCTTCATGCCAGTAAACCAGCGCTCTGGGATAGCAGCCTCGCATCCACCGAGCTACCTTGGCAGACAAAAGGATGGTTGGAAACCCACCACAAAGCATACCTCCTTCAGCTGCCACTCCCCAGAACCGACAGGCAGCTTCCAGAGATGTACACATCATCTAAAGGGCACCCCGCCCACGACCCAGAAATCCGGGAAGGGAGCAGGGCATCCTCAGACAATTCAGATTCCATGGCAAACTATGCCACCCCCGAGGGACCTCATGGAGTGGGACGAACCCCAGAAAGCCACCCCTACCTAGAAACTGTAATGCCAGAGGGGAGGACCCCAGAGGCTACAAATGGGATGGGAAACAAGGAGGGTGGGGAGAAGGGAGGAAAGGGGGGTATGGGGAGGGAAGGGAGGATTGGGGGGTAATTAGGTTCGGTCGGAGGAAGCAGACCCAAAGGTCCAATTCCTCAGACTGATAGCCTCTTTACCACTACAAGGGTTAATCAAATTAACCAACTTGACTCAAGCAAGAAATTTTGGCTTGTTCCTTCAAAGAGCTCAACACCTTCACTTATATGTAGCCTAAACCACTTCATTAGAACTTGATCTAGTTCTGAACTTTTTCCTTCATTTTTTTTCCTTTTACACATTTCTTTGAATCACTGTTAACAAAGAAACTCGGTAACTTTTCTTTTCTTTCTCGTGAATGTGGAAGATCCAATTCTGTATAATTCACACAAGCTTCTCACAGAGATAACCACTGTTGAGTTTTTTCTGAACTTTATCTTTGATGGACAATGTACAGTGTTTGTGCTTTACATGAGAAGTATTTCCTTTATTCCTTGGAACCATGGCTGGGGTTAAAGTGAGCAGGCTATAACAATAAATAGAGAAAAACAAATTGGAATGACTCGTGCGACAGGTTGGTGCGGTGACCCAGGAAATTTGAAATTATGCTGGCCAAAATTAGTGCTGGAACCAGATTAGTGATTGCTGGATCAGTGATGGCCGACCTGTATATTCTGTCTAGCCAAGTTTAGGATTCTGGTCTTCACCGATGTTGTGGTTGGGAGAATACGCTTTCCTGTATTCATATCAGGCATACACATCTCACTCGTGGGTATCTCATGGAGAGGTGCCTGGTTCCACTCTGTAAGAATTGTCCCCTCAAGGAAGGTTCCTTGATGTTGGTGAGGGGCTCTTGATTTAGGGAATTGGATCTGTGCTCCAGTTCCCCGAATTAAGCCTGAATATTCAGCCTTCCACATCCCCCCCCCCCCAGGCGCTGTATAATCCTCCGGGTTTAGCGCTTCCCCCTTGATTATAATAATAATAATAATAATGTAAGAATTGTCAGGTTCCAGTTTAAGTTGGCCACATTCTATTAGATTGTCCTGTCTACTAGCAAGCATGCAGAATTTACCTCCAACACCCTTTCTTTATCTTCCCTCCTTGCTGATGGCCCCACCTTTGACTTTTTGACAGCAACAGATTTATTACACAACCTTTAGCTGTATAGCCCTTGTGGCTTAGCGCTTCTTTTTGATTATAATAATTACACAACCTTTGATTATACTTCCTTTAGCACTTCACACCGCCCTTACTAACTCTACCTCTGTTATACTCTCCACTATCACTAGTCTCTGATCAAGCACATTAAACCTGCAGCACTGTGACCCTTGTAGGTTTAGCATTTCATTATGATAATTTTACCATACAGTATTTTAAAATGTGGCAAATATAATCTTAGTTTGTAGACTACACAAAGAATTTTAAATTACATAAATTAGGAAATAAGTAGCAGTGCATTGCATTATGGATTTAGAAAATGTTGTATATTACAGGCCCTGTTGCCCGGTGAAGGTGCAGCAATGGCAGCTTATGTAGCCGAAGGTAAACGAATTCCCAGACGTGGTGAAATTGGTCTAACATCTGATGAAATAGAAAAGTTTGAGGATGTTGGCTATGTCATGAGTGGGAGTCGTCATCGGCGCATGGAGGCTGTGCGTTTACGGAAGGAAAATCAGATTTATTCAGCAGATGAGAAACGAGCCCTGGCTATGTTCAGCAAGGAAGAAAGACAAAAACGAGAAAATAAAATTCTCACCCAGTTCAGAGATATTGTCCGTAGCAAACTGAATAAGAAATAAATATATTGTATATCAAGCTGGTAGACATAGTGTATATATTGTATTAAAATAGCCTTCTAATAGGTTTATTGCCAACGAGTGATTGGTTTATTTACCATTTTGTACTGTTGTACGTGAATCTGCGTTAATTTATAAAATGCCATTGTCATAAAAGGATATCTTTTCACCTGACAATCAGCATAGTAATTGTGCTTAAAATTTTGAAAAAATTTTATGCATAAAACCTACAGTATAATAGTAGATGTATCAAGATCTCTTGGACCTGATTTTATAACATTTATATTATGTATTTGTTTACAAATGAGTGTAAATTTTCTAGCAAAAATAGGTAGACATTTGTGTAAATGTATCTTTTACAAATGATTCAGGTGGTAAATTATGTCTTAGTACAATTACTTGTATTGTGTTAATAGAAAAATATTGGGGAAATTTTAGTATCCGAGGATAAAAGACATGCAATTTATGTAGTCATGAATTTTGCTGCTTGTATATTTTTTTTATTTTCTTCAAACACTGCTGCATACATAGCAAAACAAAACTTAATGGTAATTATATTCTTTTTCCTAGGGAGCAAGAACATGGATATGCTTTTTTGTTCACCAACTTTGCTGAATAAGCAAAGATGCTTTATACTAAGAATTTTAACATTAAATAAACATTTCAGTGATGATAAATAACAAATTTAGGATACCTATAGTAGTCAGCTTTTTTCTTTAGCTGTTATTTTCCATTCAGTAATGTAAGAGCACTTTTTGATTCACCTAAATTATTTTCATTATACAGTCTTCACATAAAAGTAACAAACCTGTAGATTCATTTTGAACTTTAAAATTTTGTGAATCTGCAGAATGAAGGATGGAATTATCATGCAATGTAGTGCCCTATTTTTTAATTCTAGAATCAGTTTTGAGTGGGTATCTTTGTTCTTTGGGAGCATTAACGAATTGGAAAAGCTACACCGAACTCTACATTAATTCATTAACACCTTATGGTGCTCATCTTAATTTTCAAATTCAAAGTAATATTTTCTACTACTATCTCTTACATTTTCATCTCGAACATAAGTTTGGAATACAGTTGAATACCAGAAGTTCAGATCTGTTTGTGCTGGAGCTGTTCTGAACTTTGGATCCATTTGACCTATTATTATTTATTATTTTTTATTATCACACCGGCCGATTCCCACCAAGGCAGGGTGGCCCGAAAAAGAAAAACTTTCACCATCATTCACTCCATCACTGTCTTGCCAGAAGGGTGCTTTACACTACAGTTTTTAAACTGCAACATTAACACCCCTCCTTCAGAGTGCAGGCACTGTACTTCCCATCTCCAGGACTCAAGTCCGGCCTGCCGGTTTCCCTGAATCCCTTCATAAATGTTACTTTGCTCACACTCCAACAGCACGTCAAGTATTAAAAACCATTTGTCTCCATTTACTCCTATCAAACACGCTCAAGCATGCCTGCTGGAAGTCCAAGCCCCTCGCACACAAAACCTCCTTTACCCCTCCCTCCAACCCTTCCTAGGCCGACCCCTACCCCGCCTTCCTTCCACTACAGACTGATACACTCTTGAAGTCATTCTGTTTCGCTCCATTCTCTCTACATGTCCGAACCACCTCAACAACCCTTCCTCAGCCCTCTGGACAACAGTTTTGGTAATCCCGCACCTCCTCCTAACTTCCAAACTACGAATTCTCTGCATTATATTCACACCACACATTGCCCTCAGACATGACATCTCCACTGCCTCCAGCCTTCTCCTCGCTGCAACATTCATCACCCACGCTTCACACCCATATAAGAGCGTTGGTAAAACTATACTCTCATACATTCCCCTCTTTGCCTCCAAGGACAAAGTTCTTTGTCTCCACAGACTCCTAAGTGCACCACTCACTCTTTTTCCCTCATCAATTCTATGATTCACCTCATCTTTCATAGACCCATCCGCTGACACGTCCACTCCCAAATATCTGAATACGTTCACCTCCTCCATACTCTCTCCCTCCAATCTGATATTCAATCTTTCATCACCTAATCTTTTTGTTATCCTCATAACCTTACTCTTTCCTGTATTCACCTTTAATTTTCTTCTTTTGCACACCCTACCAAATTCATCCACCAATCTCTGCAACTTCTCTTCAGAATCTCCCAAGAGCACAGTGTCATCAGCAAAGAGCAGCTGTGACAACTCCCACTTTGTGTGTGATTCTTTATCTTTTAACTCCACGCCTCTTGCCAAGACCCTCGCATTTACTTCTCTTACAACCCCATCTATAAATATATTAAACAACCACGGTGACATCACACATCCTTGTCTAAGGCCTACTTTTACTGGGAAAAAATTTCCCTCTTTCCTACATACTCTAACTTGAGCCTCACTATCCTCGTAAAAACTCTTCACTGCTTTCAGTAACCTACCTCCTACACCATACACTTGCAACATCTGCCACATTGCCCCCCTATCCACCCTGTCATACGCCTTTTCCAAATCCATAAATGCCACAAAGACCTCTTTAGCCTTATCTAAATACTGTTCACTTATATGTTTCACTGTAAACACCTGGTCCACACACCCCCTACCTTTCCTAAAGCCTCCTTGTTCATCTGCTATCCTATTCTCCGTCTTACTCTTAATTCTTTCAATTATAACTCTACCATACACTTTACCAGGTACACTCAACAGACTTATCCCCCTATAATTTTTGCACTCTCTTTTATCCCCTTTGCCTTTATACAAAGGAACTATGCATGCTCTCTGCCAATCCCTAGGTACCTTACCCTCTTCCATACATTTATTAAACAATTGCACCAACCACTCCAAAACTATATCCCCACCTGCTTTTAACATTTCTATCTTTATCCCATCAATCCCGGCTGCCTTACCCCCTTTCATTTTACCTACTGCCTCACGAACTTCCCCCACACTCACAACTGGCTCTTCCTCACTCCTACAAGATGTTATTCCTCCTTGCCCTATACACGAAATCACAGCTTCCCTATCTTCATCAACATTTAACAATTCCTCAAAATATTCCTTCCATCTTCCCAATACCTCTAACTCTCCATTTAATAACTCTCCTCTCCTATTTTTAACTGACAAATCCATTTGTTCTCTAGGCTTTCTTAACTTGTTAATCTCACTCCAAAACTTTTTCTTATTTTCAACAAAATTTGTTGATAACATCTCACCCACTCTCTCATTTGCTCTCTTTTTACATTGCTTCACAATATTTAACAGTAAAATCATGTAGAAAATGGTACTCACCATTGCCCTTTGTTCTTATCCTCTTGTAAAAATTCATATACAGCACAAGGACACAGAGAGTGAGGAGGCCTGGTCACAGACCGGGCCGCGGGGGCGTTGACCCCCGAAACTCTCTCCAGGTAAACTCCAGGTAGAGGCTAAATACTGGCATTAAAATTCCTTAATCCTTAAACTGTGTCCAACATACTAGTACTAACACAAGTGCTGTGTGTCTAGTGTACTAGTACGCAGAATTTTTTGTACCTTCAAATCTGCCACTTGCCAATATTTTTTACTTAGTACATTCTCTGGTTCTTCTCCAATCTATTCATACATTCACAAAAATCTAGGCCAATTATTATAGTCAAAAAGAAGTGTTAAACCACAAGGGCTAATCTAGGCCAGAAGGGTCCACATGGTGTATTATGGTTAACTACACAAGTGATAACTCTTGTCTTGATGTACTAATATGCCAAACTAGCAAAAGTAAACAATGAAACTGGCTGTTGTTCTTCCACCAGCAAACAAACAGGATATGGAAGTGGCACAAAGATGACTTATTTATTTCAAATTATTACTATTTCATGATACATTGGAATTAATCCACAAAGCACACTAAATATACTTAACCCAGTAAAGTCAAACAATGACTTATTTCCATGTTTTGATGAGTATTACACCCTGAAACAATTAACCCTTTGAGGGTCTGTGCTATAGGTCTACTGCTTTGAAGCCAGGGTCAGTGCCATAGTTCTACGCCATAAGCCCGGCTCACTTGGATAAATTGTGAGTGGTAAACTTGGACCTAGATATGAAAGAATGCATCTATGTGGTGTGCACCATATAAAAAAAAATCCTGAAGCATGCAGTGCATAATGAGAAATATGGTGACCATGTTTTTGGATTAAAACAACAACTGTGGTTTATTTTCGTATCGTTTTTATGGTTGTATTCACGGTTTCTTGATCTCATTTCATAGAATGGAAGATACAGTGGGCCCTCCGTTTTCATCGATCTCCGTTATCACCGATTTCGGTTTTGGCTGACTTTTTTCATTGATTTTTTGGTTCTGTTTTCATCAATTACCTCGGTTTTCGTCAATCGTATGGAACCTGTCCAGTGCCCAGCATGCACAGCTGCCTCCCACACCATTTTCAGCCAGTGTAGCATTGTTTCTCGGTGAGTGAACATGCCAGGTCATATGAAACATTTTGTAATAATCCATTGTTTTCCCACTTGTTTATTGTGTGTGACTGCTAAATAATCCACCATGGGCCCAAAGAAAGCTTCTAGTGCTAGCCCTTTGGTAAAGAATGCGAGAAACATGATATAATTCAAGAAAAAGTTTGTAGAAAAATACGAAAGTTGTGATGCTGGTAGAGGGTGCCTTCTTCAGTGATTTGGAGATTCTACTAACTCCTCCATTGTTGGAGTTATATAGGGCTACAGAAAACATCACTGCCTCACCTGCAGCCTTTACCAACATCATGTATGGCTTATGCTCACAGTGGCCCTTGTGCACCCAACAACAATAACAACAGAACACCTATCATTACATACATAATAGGCAAGTGTGACGTTAAATGTTCATTTATGCATTTTATTAGTGCTTTATACAGTAAGGCCCCGCTTTACGGCATTTCGCCTTACGGCATTCCGCTAATATGGCGATGTCAAATTATGACCAAAATTTGCTATACGGCAAGCGGTCTTTCAAATGCGGTGCCCCCCCCACCCCACCCGGTTTGTTTACATTTTCCGTGACCACATCTATTATGTCAGGTAACTTTCCAAAATTTCAAGTGTTTTAAAGTTACTGCATATTTTATATGTACTCTGATAATTATACTAATGTGTACCTGTACCTAAATATACTTACACACTGTGCTGGTGTGCAGGTACACATTAAAATCGCTGTCTCTCTCTACTCATAACGCCAATACTAAGTAATAATAATCACTCTTGGGCACACTAAATGTCTTATTTTACATCAATATAGGCATTTTCATTAATCCATCTATGATATTTTCCTCAAAATTATATATGAAACCCATTACATAGCATATAAACATGATACATACACTCACAGAATAAAAATTGATGTAAATATGAGACTTGTTTACAAAGCAGCTGTGTAGGTAGTGTCGGAAGAATTACGTTTTCTCTAGTCAAACTGGGGGATAACTAGAAAAATATTCTTTTCGTATGCCTTTACTCTCTGTATAGCAATTCATGACCCTTGTGGGTTTAGTGCTTTTTATAATAATATATTTTTTTTTTTTTTTTTAACAAGTCGGCCGTCTCCCACCGAGGCAGGGTGACCCAAAAAAAGAAAGAAAATCCCCAAAAAGAAAATGCTTTCATCATCATTCAACACTTTCACCACACACATAATCACTGTTTTTGCAGAGGTGCTCAGAATCATATATGTATAAAGATACACAACATATCCCTCCAAACCGCCAATATCCCAAACTCCTCCTTTAAAGTGCAGGCATTGTACTTCCCATTTCCAGGACTCAAGTCCGACTATATGAAAATAACCGGTTTCCCTGAATCCCTTCACTAAATATTACCCTGCTCACACTCCAACAGATCGTCAGGTCCCAAGTACCATTCGTCTCCATTCACTCCTATCTAACACGCTCACGCACACTTGCTGGAAGTCCAAGCCCCTTGCCCACAAAACCTCCT